ACTTCACTTTAGACTGACAATCTCCAGTTCCATCTATGTTGCTGCAAATGGCATTATTCACATTTATTTAAATATTAGACACATGACAAGCCCTCTGAGGGCTATTCATTCATTCATACATTTATATCAATATATTTATATTCTATTCATACATTTATATCAATCTATTCATACATTTATATCAATACACATATGGCTAACTTCATGTGCTTTTTAATTTGAGAATAAGACTAATTCTATTGCAATTATTTTCACATAGTTATATTCAATACAACATATTGCTTTGCTTTCTAAAACAGATGCTTGGCATATATCGCTTCAGTAAGCATAAGTATAAGCTGATGATAAAAGATGTCACCGTCAGACGGTGAAAAAGTAAAACAAACACAGAACTATTGGCAGTGTCAGTGCTTGAGTGAACCATCTCTCTGCCCACTTCTCATGTTTGTTGTTATATCTTTGCAGGAAGGTCAGGCAGAATGTGATTGTGGAGAGAATTCAAAATAGACCTACTACTAGAGAACCAGGCACGATTCCTAGTGTTGGGCATGTAAAGTAGCCCTTTTCCTTCCTCCAGGCGGTGTCCCTTCACAACACCCACTTAGTTATTCTGCAGTCATTCACTGGGCACCACCGAGTACCCACTACTGTGTCAGCCACTAAGGAAATGTCAAAGTTAAGAAGAATACATAGTTTCTTCCAGTAAGGAGCTGGCAGGCTAGGTAAGGGAGATATGATTAACTTACAAGGTTTGCAAATTATAACCACTATATATACTATACAAATAGATAAAAAACAAATTTCTTCTGTATAGCACAGGGAACTATACTCAATATCTTGTAATAACCTATAATGAAAAAGAATGTGAAAATGAATATATGTATGTATATGCATGACTGGGACATTATGCCATACACCAGAAATGGACACATTGTAACTGACCATACTTCAATAAAAATAAATAAAATTATAACATGACAAGTCAATTAATAGGTTATCTCGGAAGTAGTTATTCCATGTAGACTCATTGAAGGTTAACAGGGGATTGAGCCTCATATTTTTAAAGACAGTATTTTTAGAGCAGTTTTAGGTTGACAATAAAGTTGAGAGGAAGGTTCAGAGATTCCTTATATACTCCCTACATCCACAAATGCATAGTCTCCCCCATTATCAATATCACTCAGTAGAATGGTAGATTTGTTACCAAAGATAAACCAAAATTGATGCTTTGTTATAACCTGAAGTCCATAGTTTACCTTAGAGTTCACTCTTGGTGTTGTACATTCTGTGAATTTGGACAAATGTACAATGACATAGATCCATCATTATGATATCACACAGTATTTTCACTGCCCTAAAAAATGCCATGCTTTGCCTATTTGTCCACCCCTCTCCCTATCCCTGGCAACCACTGATTTCTTTAATTGTTTCAATAATTTTGCCTTTTCCAGAATGTCATACAGTTGAAATCACACAGTATGTAGCCTTCTCAGATTGGTTTCATTCTAGAAATTTGCATTTAATATTCCTTCTTGTGTTTTCACAACTTGCTAACTCATTCATTTTTAGCATCAGAAAATATTCTGTTGCTTGGCTGCACCACATTTTATTTACCCATTTACATACTAAAGCACATCTTGGCTGCTTCCATGAACCTTATTTTAACAAGAATATTGATTCTAAGACAGGGTCAAGTGACTCAGATAAGCTATAACTAGCTATAGATAAATCCAATTTTAATATCCAGACCTTCTAATTCCTCATGCAGTATTTTTTTATTGAAGTAGTCAGTTTACAATGTTCTGTCAATTTCTGGCCCACAGCATAATAGTTCAGTCATACATATACATACATATATTTGTTTTCATATTCTTTCTCATTATAGGTTACTCCAAGATATTGAATGTAGTTCCCTGTACTATATAGTAGAAACTTGTTTATCTATTTTATATATAGTAATTAGTATCTTCATGCAGTATTTTGACATCATCATTTGGGCCAGACAAGCACTCTCCTTGCAATTTTCTCAAGTAATTCTTGATGTTATGTATTACACCTTGATTATTTGACCAATCAACACTTCTAGATGTTTTGCTGGATTTTGGGGGGGTTGCATTTAAGTTATATATAAATATTAGGATGTGAAATATCATAATGTTGAATAAACACACGAAAGAACCATTGTCGTACCTATCTGGGGCAATAAAGCATGGCATTGTTTGAGAACTACTATCTAGAAGAGTGGGGAATTTATTGCATAGTTGATTCTCTGGCATTTATAGCATATACAAGGGGGAAACCAGCTACTTACAAGCCATGAGTGGCAGGGATCTTCAGGAAGCTGATTATCTTTCTGGAAGGTGGTTTGTTATCGATGTTTAATATTATTCTAGTATCAGTTTAATAGCTTTTAATAAACACAAAATACATTAGAATTTTCATTAACTGCTACACAGAAGTTAGCACTGCCGCTTGATTTTAGACCAAAATAGATTTTTACTATGAGGCTAAGTTCCCATTTATTCTATTGCTAAAGGAACATAGGAAGTTTTCTTCCTGAATTTGACTTCTTAAACAAAACATATTTTATTTTATCTAATTTTGAAATGTGTTGCTGGTATTCCACATCAGAAACCGTGGCTTTCTAAAAAGCAACAGGAATAGAAGTCTATAGCTGCAGCAAACAGAGCAAACCATGTCGAGAAAATGAAATTCCACAAAAATTACCACTTTTTTATATGAATGTTCTCAGTGAGAAGTCTTAAAGTGTATCCTCCTAAACATCTTCTGATTTCCTGAAATGCATATATCAAAAGTACATTTAGTAAATTGAATTTCCCCTTCTATCTGGAAGTTCTTTTAAAGCAAACTTGATTTTTGTTATAAATTTGGACTTGGCTAGGTTTGTTTCTCTTTCTCTCCTACTAATTCTGTTAGGGCTAATCCCTGTCATATCTGTTTGTTGATAATACTTGCTGCAGAGCGGGACCAAATCATCCAAATGTAGGTTTCGCTTCAATTGCTTACTGTTATTGTTGGTTTGCAAATCAAAATTGAATTGAGTTAATGGGTCAGTAGTTTTTCTCAGCTTTCTTCTAAGAATGTGACTTTTTTCTGAGGCTGTCTGTTTCTATAAATTAGTTATAGTTCAGGTGCTACATATTTTATTGTGTATATTCTGTTGGCACCATTTTTTCAGTCAAGCACATTTCAAAATATAAATTAATTTTGTATAACATGTTTGAACTGAAACTTAAGTAGTTTCTTTGAGCAACTATGGAAGAAAAATAGCCACAAATTTGGCAGTATGCCAGAGTTAACAATCTTTTTCTTCTTTTATATCTTTATCAGTTTTTCATTTATAAGCGATCACTGATTTGACCAAATGTTTTCCTTTGTTGTGACAAAAAATACATAGCATAAAATTTACAATTTTAACAATTTTTGGAATACAGTTCAGCGGCATTAAGTACATTCACAGTGTTGTGTAACCACCACCCAAAATACGGAATGCTCCACAAATTTACATTTTATTCTTATGCAGGACTGATGGTAATTTTCTCTGTTTTGTTCTAATTTTAGCACATGAGCTACTGAAGCTAAGACACAGATATGTTTTTTAAAGTGTTAAGAATCTCTTTCAGACTCAGAATAGAAAAACTAAAATAAGTTGACTAGTGAAATAGTATTCAAAATCATTTTGGTATGTGAACTGTTAGCTTTTAATATTTCTCTGGCTATTTGAATTTGATAGGTATCTGAGAGACCTTATTTCATAGACTAGTAGATAGGTTTCTTATCTGTTGGTATGATCTATTTGAAACAATCTGGCACTTTAGGATGGAAGGACTATAGAAGGAAGTTGCTGCAACTGTTCTCAGGTTCCTGCATTCCTGGGCTAACTGGTTGTGGGAACAGCTACTCTTGTCCTAAATGTCAGAAATGTGAGGTGTTTTGTCACCCTTAATCTATATCTAATGTACACTCTCTCCTAGATTTGTAATATGATTTGCTCATTATGCCATTGCTGGCTTAAAAATCAGACCAATGGGTGGCCAAGGATGCAAGACATTAAAAATGATCTTGACATGTCTATTCTCTAACACTTTATAAAAATGCTCAAATAATGTACCTAGGGAGGTGTATAAACTACCAGAAGTTGTATATTTATTTTTTAACAGTTTTTATTGAGTTATAATCATTTTACAATGTTGTGTCAAATTCCACTTCAGAGCACAATTTTTCAGTTGTGACAATCATTGTCACTTTTTTTTCTCTGTGAGCTACCATAAGATCTTGTGTATATTTTCCTCTGCTATATAATATAATCTTGTTTATCTATACTACAGTTTTGAAATCCCATCTATCATTTCCCACCTCCGCCTCCTTGGCAACCACAAGTGTGTATTCTATGTCTATGAGTCTATTCTGTTTTGTATTTATGCTTTATTTGTTTGTTTTTGTTTTTGTTTTTGTTTTTTTTAGATTCCACATATGAGCGATCTCATATGGTATTTTTCTTTCTCTTTCTGGCTTTCTTCACTTAGAATGGCATTCTCCAGGAGCATCCATGTTGCTGCAAATGACGTTATGCTGTCAGTTTTTAATGGCTGAATAGTATTCCATTGTATAAATATACCACCCCTTCTTTATCCAGTCATTCGCTGATGCACATTTAGGCTGTTTCCATGTCTTGGCTTTTGTAAATAGTGCTGCTATGAACACTGGGGTGCAAGTATCTTTTTGAAGTAGGCTTCCTTCTGGATATATGCCCGGGAGTGGGATTCCTGGATCATATGGTAAGTCTATTCCTAGTCTTTTGAGGAATCTCCATACTGTTTTCCACAGTGGCTGCACCAAACTGCATTCCCACCAGCAGTATAGGAGGGTTCCCTTTTCTCCACAGCCTCTCCATTTTTGTCATTTGTGGATTTTTGAATGATGGACATTCTGACTGGTGTGAGATGATATACCTCATCATAGTTTTGATTTGCATTTCTCTGATAATTAGTGATACTGAAATTTTTTCTTTTTTTAACATTTTTATTGATTTATAATCATTTTACAATGTTGTGTCAAATTCCAGTGTTCAGCACAATTTTTCCGTCATTCATGGACATACACACACTCATCACATTTTTTTTCTCTGTGAGTTATCATAACATTTTGTGTGTATTTCCCTGTGCTATACAGTGGTCAGTAAAGATGCTTGAGATAATTTCTATCTTCTTAAATCTTGTTTATCTATTCTACAATTTTGATACTGAATTTTTTTCATGTGCCTGTTGATCATTAGTATTTCTTCCTTGGAGAATTGTTCGTTTAAGTCTTT